GTGATATTGCATTATTACACGATTTTTTGAGCAAGTGTGCTTTTAAGCGATATAGCATTATTAACAATTTATCCTCGCGTTTTGTGCAATGATTTCAATTAAAAATATTTCAAACTTCACCATATAAAAATCTAATTGGGAGATATTTTGTTTGTTGATATACTATTTGCTTGTTTTAAGTTTGTTGCATAAAGAAGAAGTCACAATCTTGGTTCATTGCAAAAACGAAGCGCAAACTTTGTGGATCAGTAGTCAGTGGAAACATGTTGCTTTTCCAAAAATATTACCCTGTAATTTTCAGTTTACTGCATTTTTACACATTGGCGGAGAATCTTGCATTTATTATATGTCTGGGAAGAAAGTTACTATTTATTTACTTCCTCTTAATTAGGCATGAATAATGTGACATATTTGCTATGGCTGCATTGCGAAGATGATTCTTATTTGCTTAGAGTGAATTAATCATGTAGGAATTGACACCTAATCCTTACATAAATTTAACCATGTCTGGTGACTTAAGCTTTAATTTCTCCTATTGACGCTTTTGAATCAATAACTCATATCAAAGCTAAAATGACTTGAGATGCATTAAACTCTATGGCAACTCATTCTGATTAAATCACAGAGGCATTAGAAAGAGCATTATAATTTTGATCAACGTTTGTCATTAATTTGACCGGCTATCCCACAGCATTTCAATGTAAATGTCCTCTTGAAAATACAGAAGTAAGGAATTGAAGTGGTGAAAAATCGAAAGATGTTAACTGTTGGGACGTGAATGTGCGAGGAAGCTTTGCATCAACCTTGTCACACTTAATTTAACTGTATGACACACTTAATAGCACTGCATGACACACTTCATAGGACTGCATGACACACTTCGTAGGACTGCATGACGCACTACATAGGACTGCATGACGCACTACATAGGACTGCATGACACACTTCATAGGACTGCATGACGCACTACATAGGACTGCATGACGCACTACATAGGACTGCATGTCACACTTCATGGGACTGCAGGACACACTTCATATGACTGCCAGACACACTTAATAGGACTGCATGACACACTACATAGGACCTGTCTCTTATACACATCTAGATGTGTATAAGAGACAGATAATGTTGATGTTAGTTATACTTACATGGAGGAGTGCAGCCAAGCACCACCAATTTTGTGCACCAATAAGCCCTGATCGAACACATTGGATCTCTCTGGACATCCACCAATCAGCCGTGAATGAAACCTGCTATCCAGAGCTGACCCTTGACATCATTCTGTTTTGAATATTTTGAGCTCTACACCCCTCACTGCCGGCTGTTTCTCTTAAAGGCTGATTGGTCTGATTCAATTGATTCATGCTGGACATCCACCAATCAGCCATGAATGAAACCTGCTATCCAGAGCTGACCCTTGACATCATTCTGCTTTGAATATTTTTAGTTCTACACCCCTCACCGCCGGCTGTTTCTCCTAAAGGCTGATTGGTCTAATTCAATTGATTCATTCTGTCTGGTTACTTTCGGTTGCCTGTACGATTGCCCAGAATTGTTGAAGTCTACGTTCCAAAAGGCAGGAATCATGATGTTCCATTACATCCAGGGCAGTGATGGTCATTGGCAGGTAACCCTTACATGACCAGGACCGCGTTAAAAAGACAGCTTGCAGACAAGAAGGCAAGTGCACTGCAAGTTCTCACTTTCAAGACATGAGCATTGGACTTCATGCAGGCTGTAGTCCAAAAACTACTGGACAAGAGCCCTATCAGGTATGGCCTTGATAGGAACCTGAGATGGCTGGTGCCAAAAGTCTTCATCAAGAACAACTGTAAGGAAGCCCTCAAGACACAGTTGAAGAACTGTCTCACTTTGATTGTTGATGCCTAGAGATTCCTTAACACAGATGTGGATGGTGTTGTGCAATGAGATATGCAACTTTAGAGATGAATCACAACATTGCAGTGAACTGAACGCTCAATTTCAAGCATTTTCAACTTCTGATCGACTGGACACTTTTTGGCATGCCATTCTGTCAAAGAGCACTTTTTGGCATGCCATTCTGTCAAAGATGACCATCACCAAGAAGATGCTGCTTGCAGCTGGTAGTGCCAAAACCGCCTACAATACTTATTTGGCAGAAGAGAAAGAGCAGAATGCGAAGGCCCAGAAAACCCAGAAGAGAAAGTCTTTGTTGGATGAGCTAGATGAACTGAAGAAGAAGAAGAGGCGAACGGAGGAGGGCATCAAGGCGCTTGAGCAAGCAGCAGATGAACATGCAGAAGCAATGTAGAGAAAGGGGGATTTAAAAATTATCAAAAAGTTCAACGCCCTGAGGCCATCTTTGAAAACAAAGCTAGACACTCTTGAACTGAACATTAAAGAAAAAGTTGATGAAATAGCTGCCAGTTGAATGTTCGGGTAGTGGTGTTGAAGAATGTCCTGAACTGTATTGACATTATCATGTAGAATCTTGTGTGCATTACTCAATATTTGTTGTGATTTGAAACTATTGAATTCATAATAATACCAGTGTGAGCTTGATTTTCAGATATGTGTCATTTTTGTTCCTCTTTGTCTGCCTGCTCTATGCATTTACATGTTTGCTATTTATCAACTTTAGGAGATGATAGAATATGCACGATTAGTCTTTGTTATGCTNTCATATGACTGCATAGCACGCTTCATTTAACTGCATGACACACTTAATTTAACTGCATGACACACTTCATTTAACTGCATGACACACTTAATTTAACTGCATGACACACTTCATTTAACTGCATGACACTCTTCATTTAACTGTATGACACATGTCATATGACTGCATGACACTTCATAGAACTGCCGTCCTGCCGAGACTCGAGCTGCCGCCGTGGAGACGCGCTCCCCGGCAGAGCTTCAAGAATCGCTGTTCCTGCATCAATCAATATCAAGGTTTCAATCACAGGGATTAAATTACTTGATGCCAGCCAAATAAATGAACTCAAATACCATCATACGTCTCTGCGCCAGGCTCTCTAGAATTGATCGAATGTTTTTACGAGTTGGATGTTGAGGAGTGGGTACTACGGTCACATATTAATGGAAGGATGGCATGATTGGCTGCAATACTAACATGCACAACTTTCGTATTACGATTTCTAGTGCCATGGCTCATGTGCGTACGAGAGGAGGATCTTGTGGACGGAGGAGGGCCACTGTAGAGTGGGGAGGTCAGGGATGGATGGATGAATGGCCAAAAAACCGCCGCCTCTTGGGAACTCCCACAGTGAGGAGGCGCTGAGGGTTGTGGGGAAAGGAAGGACATGAGGAGAGATAGTGAGAAAACGAGCTACTCACGAACGTCACTAATGAGCATCACTGAGAAAGATCCCAGACTGTCCAGTAATGAGAAACCACCCTCAGCAAGTGACAAGCAACAGCATCTTGCATCAGGTAGCCCAAAGGAGGGCAAATAGACGGAACACGTCCAACGTTACATCCGACGACGACTCGGAGACGGAGGACGACGAAGGCGGCGCATCAGCGTGACCGTGGACTACGACGTCCTAAACTCATCATAAGGTCATAAGGACTGATGAGCATCACTGATAAGCATCACCACCAACATGCATCGCTCACGGTGAACCAACACCTCATCATAGGATAAAGTGCATTTTGTATACAAGTACATGTAGGTGTGATTAAGTAATTAACATACCAAGCAATTATATCGCATATAATAAATGCCAGATATTGTATGATACACTTACCTGGGGTTAGGTTCAATGCATAAACAAGTTCATCATGTGACCAACTCAAAGGTTAGGGTAGGTTGAGTAACAAGGACCCGATGCACTAACCTGCGTCACGAACATATGCACCACTAACATGCGTGCGTCACTAACATACACTACTAAAATGCATGGTTGAACTATATAAGGTTGACCCACGAGCATTTCCGAATTTAAGTTCAGTTTTCTTGTTGCGTCACTGAGATCGCGAAATGTTAACAATCCTGTCATGACGAATTGGTTGGCTAGTTTGATCGCATTTCGGTGATGGTTATTGCCCGTGACGTCACAGAGATCATTGATTAGTTACAGGCGAACAACAAACTACATCCGCAAAAATGAGCTTCTCATTGGTCAAACCTCTAATAGTTCAACCATGACTAAAATGTGTCACTAACATGCACCACCAACATGCGTCCCTAACATGAACCTGGAACATACCCACTAAAATGTGTCACTAACATGCGTGCGTCGCTAGCATACAGTACAAAGATGTTTTACCTACATGCATCACCAACATGCGTCACGAACGTGCACCACTAACATGCGTCTTTAAAATGCACAAATAACATGCGTCACTAAAATGCAGTAATAACATGCGTCGCTAACATGCATTACTAACTTGCACCACTAATATGCGCCGCTAGCATGCCATAGAAAAATGTGTCACTAACATGCACCTTCGATATAAGCCACTAATATGCGTCACTTACATGCATTAATAACTTGCACCACTAACTTGTATCAACAACATGTGTCACTAACACGCATCAGCAACATCCATCAGTAAAATACGTTAATAACCTACACCACACCAATAACATTGACCACTGTAATGCGTCACTTTCATGGACCACTAACATGCACCTGTAAATAACATTACTAAAATGCGTCACTAACATTCATCACTAAATGAGTCGCTAATATGCATCACTAACATGCACCTCTAAAAATCCACACTAACATTCATCCCTAAGAAGCACCACTAAAATGCAACGATATCATGCATCACTAAAATTCGTCACTAATATGCACCACTAAAAATCGTCATTACCATGCGTCACTAACATGCATTACTCACATGTGTCACTGACATGACCACTAATATGCATCTCTAAAAATTCATCACTAAAATTAAACACCAACATTCATCACCATCATGAATCCATCATCTAATATAGCGAATATATGTCGCCAATATCAATTAATCACGAACATGCATCTCTAACATGAACTTCATCTCGCCTATCCTGATAAGGCTGAGTTGAGCGATAAGCCGACGACGATGCGTTGATAAGACGGCTGGAGGTCAGCCGTCAGCTGACGGGGCAGCACTTGTTCGAGGTATTAAGTGCTACGTCGTTCTCTGATCAACTACTGGTAACTAATGACATCGAGTTTACCATTAGGGTTTTTGTAACTTAAATGTTTTTCTATTTTTATATGAGATAAGTTTCTTTAAAAGCGGCTAAATTTCATCGTTTGATTCAACTTTGAGTACAATTTTGTTAGCTGTATAGAGGAGCTTGAAACTTTAGTTCTTGTAACATGCAGAAAAGTTGTGGTGCCCCACACGCGTAGGCGATTGTCCGTCGGTTCCCGCGCCAACAAATGAATTATATACAAAGTCTGACATGAACAATGGACCGAGTTTTGCGTGGAAAATTGTGATCTCCTCTCTTCACTGGCAACTTTGACAGGTCTATAGAGGAAATGAGATGTTTTCCTAACGACTCTGCTTTGTGATCTGAATCCACCTGACGATGGAGTGATTGGGGATGAATGAATTATTAAGATTGACAAAATTTTAATTTTCTCTCATTGAAGAGTTTTCTACGCGTATACATAATTCAGTACTATTACAGCCTCTGAAAAATTTAATCAAGGGCTTTGAATTAAAAGGAGTCGCTGAACTTGGTACCGAAAAATTTGCCGAGATTAGGAACCTCATCGCAGTCAATAATGCTCCTCAGGTGTCCTTCAATGCTCGCAGTGCCCAAAATTGATGTATCAGATTCATAGAAAAATTATTCACCACGCAAACCCTGATCATCATTTCACCCGAACATATTCGCCAATAGAAGATCATCTTTTACATATATAAATTCAGCATAATTTCAGAAACTAATATTCATCCCTTCAATTCCTAGTAATATCTTTCTTGCTGAGACTCTGAAATTTTGTACGACAGTCCTGGGTTCTGTGAGATAACATAACATAGTGATGTCGGCGCTGAAGAGTAGGCCTGATGTGGCGTGTCGCCGATTCTTACTTTTCGTGACCTAATTGTTCACAGAAGATCTAAAATCGTGTCATTTGACCGGATCTTTTTAGGACTGACGATAGTTTGAAATAGCTACTAGACTTCTACCAGGTTCGATATGATGCTAGGCATTTCAAATCTGGACATATATTTTTCCATAGCTTTATCTAGTCTGCTCTTGAACGCGTTCATGCTTGGAGCGCCAACGACGTAATCGGGGAGGCTGTTCCACATGTCGGTGATTAGATGGCCTAGCTTGCTCTTCTGTGTTGCTAAAATTGGACCGTGACGATAATAGTTGATTTGCTAGATGGATAATTGGGGGGGGGGGGGGGNGGGGGGTTGACGACGCGTCAGCTTTTTCTGCTAGGCGGCATAATTGGTAGATGTTGTTGGGGGCACAAACGAAAAAATAAAAACGTTTAACACTTTTTAGCATCGCTTCCGCTAGTTCAGATGATCGTCACTCTTCATTTAGTTTAGTTTGACGCTTCATTTATCGCTGTAGCTCTTGTTACTGGGCGAATTAAGATGCAAATTGCCCAGACGACGCCAGATGTTAAGGAGGCGAACGGCTCAGCTCTCCCGGAGTTGGTCGATTGGACGATATGGCTCCAAGGTCCTCTGTAATCAAGTCGGGTGCGGAAAGCATATAACATAAATTTACTGTCATTGTACATCACCAAATTGAAGCAGGAGATATTGTGTTTGAAACACAACTTGCTACTTCAAACACATCTTGCACCAGAAAATTTATTGAATTTGTACCCTCCGCAGGTGCATGCCTCATTCCCCTGTTAGTCCTCCTTAGTTGACTTGCAAGGCCTACTTTAGACTACAGCGGATCACCGTAATGTTGTTGTTATTGTGTACGGTGATCGTAGTTGGGCTAGGCTACGTGATGCTGCACCTTAACGCCGGCCCCCCCAAGCTGTTCGGGGTGTATGCGCAGAAAGGAACGTTCCACCTCTTCAAGAAGCTCATCTTCACCGCCATCGTAACCTTACGCAGGGCTAGAGTGAGTTTTGACTGCAAATTGGAATTGAATTGTGGCTCAGTGATATTGAGACTTGTATAAATTTATGGCGGTGTCACGCATTGTGTGATAAACTTTATGAATATAACAAAAAATTTTAGAATAATAATCATGAAAATGCGATAAATCAGCGCGTGTGTGTTAAATACGGTGCTGATTAATTAGTTATAAATAATACGAACAAAGGTATGAATTATTACACAGTCAATCAATGAAAAACAATTGATTTTATCTCATAACCTTAATTAATATTTTGATTCATTATACCAAATTATTAGCCTTTCATGCTAAACTGTAATCAATGGCATAGCTATTTTATTAATAAATCATGGACGATGTTCCCTCTAGGGAGGAGTGACGAGCATTACGGCTGAGGGAGCGAGGGGGCGGCCCAGCTTCGCACAAATGGAAAAACCTCAACCACTTAGTACGCACCCCAAGGTGGGTGATAGGTCTCTAAGATGAGACCTCGGTCCCTTAGGGCAGAGGTCTCCAAACTACGGCTAGGTTCCATTCGGCGCGCCGAGGATATCTCGTAGATCAATATGTGCAAAAAATCGAGCGTGGCGTTTATTTCTGGTTACTGATGAACTAAAAACAGTAGATGGGCGGGACCGGCCCGCGAAAGTTTCAGAAAGCTTGCTCTTGGCCCTCGGTGAGAAAAGTTTAGAGGCCCTTGCCTTAGGGGCCCTGGGGTACCTATGACAGGACCTTAGTCCCTCTGTAATCAAGGCCCCGTGCCCATTATAGGGCACCGCGTTGTGACAAGGTCAGCTACCGTCACGCTAAATAAGTTTCTTGAAAATATGGCATGTACTGAAATTCGAGTTTCTTTTTTCTATAAAATATTTTTGTCTGTAAATAGATTTGTTGCTGGATTGAGCTACCAGTTCGTATTTGATCATTTTAGTTTTTTAGCCCTTTGTCAGGCGCAGCTGCCTTCGGTTTCGATCGCAGAAATTCGTTTATTTTATTTACTCACATTCGATTGCAACTTCATTGCTAAGCGGTTTCCTAACTTGTTTTTTAACATCGGTTGCGCCTATATGTCTTTTCCAACACATTACTAGAACTTGAAATTGATCGTGATCTTTGATTTTTGATCACCTCACACTCGCCTGAGCTGCCATACTCAACACATGTAGCAGGACGCGGTCACGTGTGGCGGTCCTGGAGAACCAGCCTCGGCCATTGATCCGCCAATGACGTTGCATTGCGCACTGACTTCCGCGTCTGCTAAATAAATATTTATAAATTATTGATCTCTGTTGCTGGAGGTTGCTACTTGGTAGCAAACGTTTGAGGTAGTCTCGTCGTGTCTACCATAGACCTGTATTCCTCCAATATATTTAGCTTCTCATATTGTCGCGGAATAATTTAAACGTGAAAGAAAAAAAAACGTCAGTCACTGGGAGTAAATCAGGGCCTATACTTTCAAAAAAAGTTAAGAGATCGTAAGTTCATCAGCCAATCATTGGCGGCCTTTCAAGCAAAATCCACCAATCAGAGACAAGAAAATAGAGCGTTAAGTACTTACGTTCACTTAGCGAATTTTGAAAGTATGGCCTCTGCTGATCTATGGAAATCCTGACCTCAGTACGACAGCACATCCACTGTTTGAATTCCATCGATTCGAATTGAATCATTTCAACTATTCAGACTGCATCTGTCTGACAAATGCAAATTGAAAAGTAAGCTACTATACATTATTTACTTTATTGACACAACCTCGTGAATGACCTGATTAGGCAAACACAAGCTTCACTAAGAGGAACATGTCAGGCATGTCTTACATGAGATAAATGAAATATATGGGCAGCTAATTAATAACCAATCGCTTAAATAATCACTGTAATCGTTAAAATAGAGCAATATCGGTCTGAATCAGGCACTCAGACTAACTCAGTTTTCCACACTTGGATTGTACCGAGCCCACGCGTGTTTTGAACTCACAGTCTCTGCACAATTGCGCATGGCCTCCTGCGTTCACCCACAAACATAAAACTTTCCAATATACACCGAGATTTAGTAGCAAACTTTAACCTAAAAATCTCAGTTCAGTCATACAGTGCATCATCTAGGAAACTTTTCAACACAATATTATAATTGAACGTTGTTAAGCACACCCGTTTCCCGTCAGTGCACACTGAAGGCCAAGAGTAATTATATTGGCGAGGTCACAGTTTTCAAAACTTTTAAGTTTCCTCGCGGCCCGTCACCCTGCTTCGATCGCATGCCAAGTATTTTATAACAAATAATCACTTTGTCAGAACCTCCTCGAGCGCCGTTACTTTAGTTTCAGAACGAGCATGTGAGGACAAACAGGGATCCTCTGCAGACTATAACTACGTGGTCACCAGCAGATATGTTCTATTAACTACTTCGTGGTCACNTCTTGCCCCGCAGCCTGTTACAATACTGCTATGATACTAACGCAATGCTGTACTTCAAGGTGAGTCTTGCCCCGCAGCCTGTTACAATACTGCTATGATACTAACGCAATGCTGTACTTCAAGGTGAGTCTTGCCCCGCAGCCTGTTACAATACTGCTATGATACTAACGCAATGCTGTACTTCAAGGTGAGTCTTGCCCCGCAGCCTGTTACAATACTGCTATGATACTAACGCAATGCTGTACTTCAAGGTGAGTCTTGCCCCGCAGCCTGTTACAATACTGCTATGATACTAACGCAATGATGTACTTCAAGGCTAGTATTGTCTAACCGCCTATCACAAATTCTTAGTTACTACTGAAGCGTTCGAGACCATTTGAACCGTTCAATGTCCAATAATTTGTAATCCAAATCTGGATCCAAAATACACCATACCTCCACAGCACCCTTCAGTGGGGCTTCTGCAGCTTCCCCGCATGCCGGACACGCTTCTCTTTGGGGACCGAGACCGCTGGCAGGCCGAGGGCCTCAGCATCCATCCCCTTGTCCCCATGGGGACGTGGGCAATAAGTTATGAGGGCCCCATGCGGTGAGGAATGAGACTATGGAGGTAACTATGGAGCGTAGGAAAGGGCGAAGAGTATGCGTTTGATTGCACAGTTGAGCAGGAGCAATGAATCATGCGAACCTCGATGGTCAGGGAGGTGAGAGTACCGCGTTCCTCATCTCTGCATCCTCGGGAAGTTGATTCATGAGCATCCGGCTCTCGAAAAATTTCTCATGGTGGACGGCTTGACGGCTTCTAAGCCATGGAAACCGTGCAGGGCGATACCAACATTGTTAATGAGCCGCTGCTTTAGTATAAAATTACAGTTTAAATTTCAGCGAAAGCCATTTGAGCCATTTCATTTGCCGCAAGGCCTTTTTTAGCATAAATCAATCCGGTTATGTGTAGCCTTCGTCCTCCTGTCTACCGGGATCTTTTACATCTTGCATCCTAGTCTGTCCGATCTCTTCTTGCAATTTTGTCCGCATTGATCTCATGCTTGCTTTTTCGAAATTTTATCATTAGTTTTAATTATAAACTCCCAATTTACAGTCCCTCTCATTCTTCAGCGTATACAAAGATGAAGACGACGAAGATCAAGCAACAGGAGAAATTGTGGACGTGCGTATAGAGGTGGAGTGGTCCGCCAACTTCGACCACTTCGATTTCGACTCCGACCTCGACGTGGGTGCGATGGCCAGAGCTATGGCCAAGGAGAAGTGGTCGCGGGAATACTTCAACAACCTCAGAGAGTGAGGCAATGGAGGAATGATTGGGGGAGCGGAGGAATGATCGAGGGAGTACTTCAACAACCTCAGAGAGTGAGGCAGCGGAGGAATGATTGAGGGAGCGTAGGAATGATCGAGGGAGTACTTCAACAACCCAGGGAGCGAGGCAACGGGGGAATGATTGAGGGAGTAACTTCAGCAATCTCAGAGAGCGAAGGGGTTAAATGATAGAGATAGTACTTCGCTAGAACAAGGGAGTGAATGTGTGTCAAGTACTAGCAATTTTCCAGGAGAGAAAGGAGGTTCGGTCAAGTTTTGAGGGAGTTTTAAGCATGGTCTTTATGCCGGCAAACAAGGGATGCGGATGGAAACAACCGCCCGCATCAGTTTGGTGCTGGATAAAAAGTCAATATTTTGCCTATTTACTCCCAGATGTGGGTATTCCATTTCAACATGTAAACAGTATTTCACATGTAAACAAGGGCAAGTGTTTCTTTTATACTCTATGTGTGTATCAGAGCTGTGATGTGAAATATGAAGTTTTCGAGCACTCTTTCAGCCTGCGTAATCTTTGAAAGCTGGCAGTTTGTTGTTTAATACGTACTAAAACTCAGGTAATTCTGGGCACGAAAAGTTCATGAATCCGCGACAGGCCACATCAGGCCTACTCTTTAGCGCCGACATCACTATGCTATGCTATGCTATGTTCTAGTACTCGTATTATCTATTGTCTGAGTTCATCATGTTATACGAGCGTTCTTTGCTGTTCACCCCAGCGCGCACCAGACGCACTACGAGCAAATGGGCGCGTTGAAGGGAACAGCCATGGTCGCGGGGACGACGTACAGCGTCGAGCTGGAGAGCATGCGAGACCACTCATACGGTGAGAGGGGTCCACTCATATGGTGAGAGGGGTCCACTTATGTGGTGAGAGAGGTCCACTCATATGGTGAGAGGGAACCACTCATATCGTGAGAGGGGACCACTCATACGGTGAGAGGGTTCCACTCCTATGGTGAGAGGGGACCACTCCTATGGTGAGAGGGGACCACTCATATGGTGAGAGGGGTCCTCTCATATGGTGAGAGGGGTCCGCTCATATGGTGAGAGGGGACCACTCCTATGGTGAGAGGGGTCCACTCATATGGTGAGAGGGGTCCACTCATATGGTGAGAGGGGACCTCTCATATGGTGAGAGGGGTCCACTCATATGGTGAGAGGGGTCCACTCATATGGTGAGAGGGGTCCACTCATATGGTGAGAGGGGTCCACTCATATGGTGAGAGGGGTCCACTCATATGGTGAGAGGGGTCCACT